TGGGCTGGGAGGAGTGCGTGGACTTTGGTCCCTGCTCCCACACCCAGCTCCCCAGTTGCGTCACACCCCGCTGCCGGGGTGCAAAGGGACACCCAGCCCTGCCTACCCACTGCCTGCCCCACAAAGGGCAGAGCAGGCACCTCCTGCCCCCCCTCTCCTCCTTCCTGACCCCCCAATGCCTACCCACTGCCTGCCCCACAAAGGGCACAGCAGGCACCTCCTGCCCCCCCCTCCTCCTTCCTGACCCCCCCCAAATACCCAGGGGACTGGCAAAGACCAGGGGATAAAGGGATGCGGGGAACCCTGATGCCCTAGGGGTGCCAATCCCACCCCTGCTGCGCTCGGAGGGGCCACACTCTTGAAGAGTTTGACCCTAGTTGTCCCCAGAAGGTCCAGCGTGTCCCCCCCTGGCCAGAGAAGTGCTGGTGAGAAGAAGGGACAGGTCCATATCCCAGCCCCTCTGACCAAGCCAAGGCCATGTCCCAGCCCCGAGCATCCCCATCGGCCACCCAACCGCTGCCTGGGCCAGGGAGGGAGGATGAGGAGGGACAAGTGGTGGTGGATGGGGATGCAAGGCAGCCCCTCACTCACACGGTGCCAGCCAGGCCATCCTGTAGCCAACAGCAACGGTGCCAGCTTCTGCTCCCAGCTTGGAGGGAGCAAAGCCTGCACTGAACCCCCCCCAACAGTGCTTTGGACAGTAGTTATGGCATTACCTGAAGCAAGACCTGATCCTGGACCCAACAGCTTTAGCAGCCTCTTCTGGGCTGGGGTGACCAGGGAGCCATGCCAGAAGGCAGCCCATGGTGCCTCCCTGGGCACCACAGGCAATGGGCTATGGTGCCTCCCTGGGCACCACAGGCAATGGCCTCCATCCTCATCCCCATCCCCATCCCCATCACTGCACAGCACAGGATTTCCTCATTGCATCCCCATCCCACTCCTCGTGCTGCTCCCAACCCACGTGGGGCCATCACATGGGAGAGGTCATCACCAGGGAAGAAGAAGCCACCCTTACCTTTCTGGAGGTGGATGATGTCTGGGAAGTTGGAGAGGAGCCCTTGGTACAAAGAGAGAGTGTCCAGCATGAGGAACAGGTCGTTCTTGGGCTGCTCGGCAAACATCTCCCCCACGGTCTCGTACGTCTTGCCCGTGTGGGAGATGGCGTTGTTGAGGGCGTCCAAGCTGTACGGGGGGTCCATGTGGAAGGACTGGCTGATGGCTTGGAAAGCGTTGCCCAGCTTCTGGAATTCCTTCCGGAAGCCCCCCACGTGCTTGCGCACCAGCTCCGAGGCCACGTTGGTCAGCTGCAGGACGCTGTCGTCCATCTTCTTGCTGAAGGCCTTGAAGGCATCCACGCGGTCCTCCACATCCTGCAGGTCCTGGTGCTCCGTGGGGATCTGGATGGTGAGGAGGAAGCTGGCGCCCACCATCTCGTCCTTCTCCGCCCGGCGTTTGCCCAGCTTCCACTGCTTCTCGTCGCGGCAGCAGAGGAAGTGCTGAAAGCCCTCGTACTGGGAGAGGACGGGGTGGCTGGTCATATGGTCCATCCAGAGGATCAGCCGCCGCTTGCGCTTCTCGATGAAGTCCTCCTCGAAGCGCCCGGTGGCCTGCTTCTCGGGCAGGTGGGGCACCGAGATGACGGTGAACTTGTGCAGGAGGCGGTTGTAGAGCCAGTCAAAGTGCTTGTACCGCCGGTAGACGGGCGAGTTGATGTTGCTGGGGGTCAGCTTGTAGGAGATGTAGCTCTTGATGCCCTTGAACTTGGTTTGCTTGGTCGGGTCCTCCACGGAGCAGATGAAGGGGTGGGGGTTGGCCCTCCACTGGGGACCTTTGGAGCCCATCTCGATGCAGTATGCCTCAGCGATCTTGGACATCAAGGGCACGTCACCCAGGATGAAGGCTTCCACCCCCGAACGGACGAAGCAGGAGAAGCGGTTGAGGTTCCTCCCCACCACGCTGCCCCTCTTGGAGGAGCTCATGCTGTCCTGCCTCTCCAGCGCCGGTTTGGGACGGTAACCGGCGTGCTCGTGGTGGCCATAGGCCGCCGGGTACTGCAGGCTGGGCGAAGGGTGCCCGTTGGTGCCCGGCACGCTCCGGGGCTCCTCCACCACCGTACAAGCATCATCCCAGTCATCCCAATCATCATCATCATCATCCTCAAAACTGCCCTGGTAGGAGATGCCGGGGTTGGAAGAGGTTGTGTAGAAGGAGGAGTCATGGCCGGGGGAGCCGGCCGGGCTGCTGGAATAGTCCGTGTAGTTGGAGCCCGAGCGGGAGCGGAGGATCTCGACGTAGGAGGCAGGGAAGAGGCCGGTCTCCCCACGGCTGTTTTGACCCTGTAACCACCCGTCCAGGGAGTTCTCGCTGAAGATGACGAGCTCCTCGTTCTCCTGGATGCTGATCTCCTCTTTGTTTTCACTTTGGAAGTTGTAAAGAGCTCTGGCTTTCAACGCCATGGCCGGTCTCCGGCGGGAGGGAGGGAGGCGGGGGGGGGTGGAAAAGGAGGTAGAGTAGGGAAAGAGGGGGGGTCACAGCAGAATGCAACCCCCACAGCCAAAAAAAACCAATCCCACGGCGAGACCGTGGGCACCGCTTGGCCGGATTCTCAGGGAAATAAAGAAAAAAATCCTGGGGAATTAAAAACCCCCTCTGAAGTGAGGCCGAGGGCCCGATGTCCAAGTTGACCCCCTTCCCCGTCGTCCCCCCCCGGCTCCAGATCCCAGCACCCTGGTTAAAAAACAATATTCCCCCGTCAAGCCAACGGCATTTCCCTGTTTCCTACGGGATGGGAGCCCCGGGTGGAGCAGGAGCTGGGCTCTGCCATGGCCACGCAGGTTTTATCTCGCCGGGACGTCGTCGTCGATCCCGCAGCTTCACTTTCCAGGAGGAAACAATCCGGCTGCCAGCGCTGGGATCAATCCCAAGAGACTTTTTTTTTTTTT